TAACTGCTAAGCCACCGGGCCGGCCCCTCATTGCATTTAATTAATAAAGGTTGCTTTAAAAATACTTCGTATTACTGAAGTCATATTTAAAAATATTTATAACCCAATGACAAGAAATCTACAATATGAAAATTATATGTTGTAATTATCTACTTATTTGAGGATTACCTGGATTTGTAAAAAATCTTACTCGGAAACTTTTCCCAGAAATCTACCTAACCAACTCCATAACCTCTTATATTACTGCTTACTCTTTCCAACCTCTTTTATTTCCTCTTTACCTACCTAAAGTCTCATGATGGTCTCCGAGTTCTTAACAGACTCACTCTATGTCTTACCATGGGCATGGATGTTAGCCCAGGACCAGTCTTCCTCAGCAAAAAGAGGAGGATTGGCATCGGATGTTAGCTCAGGGCTAGTCTTCCTCACCAAAAAAAAAAAAAATTGATAAGATGGACTTAATTAAAATTAAACACTTCTGCTCTGTGAAAGGAATTGTTGAGAGAATGAAGAGACGAGCCACAGCCTGAAAGAAAATATTTGCAAAACACATATCTGATAAAGGGCTTGTATCCAGAGAAATCCTAAAACTCAACAATAAGAAACCAAACAACACAATTCAAATGTGGGCAAATGATCTGAACACACACCTCACCAAAGAAGATCTACTGATGGCAAATAAGCATATGAAAAGATGCTCATCATAGTATGTTATTAAGGAATTGCAAATAAAAACAACAAGATACCACTACATATCTATTGGAATGGCTAAAATCTAAAACAGTGATAATTCCAAATGCTAGTGAGGATGTGGAGCAACAGAAATGCTCGTTCCTTGCTGGTGGAAATGCAAAATGGTACAGCAACTTGGAAGATAGTTTGAGAGTTTCTTACAAAACTAAACACCGTTTTACCATAGGATCCAGCATAAATGCATATTGCTAAGTGAAAGATGCCATACTGAAAAGACTACCTACTGCATGATTCCAGCTATATGACAGTTCAGAAAAGGCAAAACTATATTGACAGTAAAGAGATCAGTGGTTGCGGGGGATTCAGGGAATGGAGGGGAGAGATGAATAGGTGAAGTTGAAGGGAATTTTAGGGTGGTAAAACTATTTTGTATGAAACTGTAATGGTGACTACATGACATTACCCAGTTGTCAAAACCCGTGGAACTGTACAACACAAAGAGTGAAGCTTAATGTAAACAACAGACGATAGTTAATATAAGTTAATAATAATGTTTCAATATTGGCTCATCAATTATAACAAATGTACCACATTAATGCAAGGTGTTAATCATAAGGGGAACCGGGGAATGGGGTGGGAGGGTGAGTATATTAAATTATGTACTATTTGCTCAACTCTTCTGTAAACCTAAAATTGCACTAAAAATAAAATCTACTATGTTTTCATTTTGTTGCTAATTTTCTGAGCCTAGATCCTAACTCAATTTTACACGCGGACACAATGTATCGTTTGAAAGGTTTGAATCTACACAGCATTTTCCAGTAAGGCAGCTACCGTCTATGTAGAGGGACGGCCGGACTTTTTTGTTTGGAACTTTGCCAAGACTTGGTCACTGTGTTAGAAAATCACATCACCCATAGCAGACTAGCCATCTTTGAGTGGTCAGCCCGCCACACGCCTGCACTGTGTGTGCATTTGCAGCCACTGCATTCACTGTGGTTTTATAAAGACGGGCCAGCATCTGTCTGCTTCATTGTGCCTGATCATTGACATATTCAAACACACATTATTTTATTACTAACTACTTTTCTTTATTTATCCTGGGTAGCACAATTAGGATATGATATTGACATTAAAGTTTGTGTGTCTAGATAGGTTTTATTATATGTGAACTTCATTGCAGGAGAGTAACAAAGTATTTGTTATTAAAAGGATGACTGAGTCTGATTGAGTTGAGAACCTCTTCTTGAAAATGAAATCCACTCTGCTTATTCAGCCCTCCCGCCTGTCATAACCAGCCCGGCTGTCGCAGAGGCTCTGCCCCTTCCTCCCACAGTGCCTGCTAAAGGGATCTATTTGTATATCCCAGAATGTGTCAGCTGGTCTTGGTACAGCCTGTTCTACCCTTGAAATGCCTTTATCCTCTTTGTTCACTGCAGTGAATGAAGTGTTCACCAAACCTCAGTTTACAGTGTTCCCCAAACCTCAGTTCTTCACCACCTTCCTTTGAATCTTGTGCCACAGCTGTGCCCCACCTCCCATCCCATTTAGTAAATTTTCTCTAAATTATTCATTTTTCATAAATAAATTCTTTTTCATTTCTATTAAATTTATAAACAAATTTATTTTTAAATTGAAATAAATTAGGGCCGGCCCTGTGGCTTGGTGGTTAAGTGCGCGTGCTGCAATGCTGGTGGCCCGGGGTTCGGATCCCGGGTGCGCATTGAGGCACCACTTCTCCGTCCATCCTGAGGCCGAGTCCCACATACAGCAACTAGAAGGATGTGCAGCTATGACATACAACTATCTACTGGGGCTTTGG